CCTACCAGAAAGCAGTTTAGTGAGAGCAATTTTCCTGGATTTGTCTCCACTGTGGCAACCTGGATCTTGTAGAGGGCACAAAGAAGAGAGCCTGGCACAACCAAATGGATGCTGGTTTGTCCTGACCAAGGCTCTGGGATCCAGGTCTTGCTCATGCACAGCAAGAGAGAGTCACAGTAACGTGGAAAGAGGTAGCCCAGCAGCTTTGGTAGTATTTGCAACATGCTTCATTTAGAGACTAAAATGGAATGAGGCAAAACAAGACAACTATTTGCACAAGGTTTTACCATCCATGAAGGACAGGTGTAATGACCAACTGTCTTTTTGTTGTTTGTTTGTTATTTTGGTGGTGGTGGGTTTTTGTTTTTGTTTTTTTTTTTCCTTTGCCTTTGTGATGCAGGTGTAATCCACAGCAGGTTTTTCTTTAAACTATTTGTAGGGATATTATATTGATGATTGTGCTTTAGCAGCTTCAGAAGACATTGAGGAACCCTGAGGAGGGCTGCCAAAAGCACTGATGTACTAGCCCACTCTGCCTCAAAATTTAAAATTAATCACCAAAGTAAATATTTCCTGAATTCCCAGGAGCACCTAAGAATTAAATAAAAGCAAATAAAACTATTTATTGCAGTAAAACTATTTTTTCTGCAAGATTCAATTAGTTGTTCCCACATCCCATTCATGAGTGATGGTCCCCACCATCACGCCAGGGCCCCATTCTCCAGGGCTACCAGGTTTGCATTTCTCCTTTCTCAGCAGAGGGAACACAAGAGGATTCCTTTTTTTTTTTTTTTTTTTGATGTCAAAAACCAGCGTTTTGTTCAAATTGGGAAGACTTGGAAGGTAAACATTTTTGGCCACCAAATGAGCATATTGGGTATGCAATATGTAGAAAAGAACTGCAGAAGAAAGACTGCAGTCCTTGGTAAGGTAATGTGCTGTGAAGACGGCCTTATCACAGGCACAAGGAAAGGCGAAATCGCAGAAAGGACAGAAATGCCCCGAGGCCCTAAGAAATGCAGCTGGTCACACTGCTGGGCAGCAGGCAACGCAGGAGTGGAGACAAGTCTTGCTGGGTGCCTCAGGTAAAACCAGCTACAAATGCCATGTGCAGGCATTCTTGTAAGGAGAGGCACTGCTCCCCTTTTCTACAGTGTGTGGTGTGTGACACAGGGCCTGGAGAAGGTGCCTCACGCCACCCCTCAGGTCAGGAGGCGGAAGGGAAGGGGTACTTGGGGACCATGGTATGGATGAGCGTCCCCAGGCTGCGTCCTGGCCCTTCTTAGCACCAGGCTGAGGGGAACAGGCTGGCACAGGTTGAGCCAAACACTGGGCAGGTGAGGAGGAGAGGGCTTGTTCCTGCGCGGATGCAGCGCTCAGTGCTCGTGTCTGCAGGTCACAAAAAAAATGAGTCTCCAGGGAAACGACTTCAAAGCTATCGCTGCAGGAGCTCCCCGTCCTTTCCCGAGTCTCTCTCACTTCAGCCTGAAGCGATGCAGGGCGCAGAGCCGCGAGGCAGCCGCTTTCCAGGGCCTGCAGCATCTGACCCTCCTCTGCTTGGCTTTTAACTCCATGGTTTCTTTCCGTGACGGTCACTATGGGGCCCGTCCAACCCACGGGTGCTCGGCCCAACCAGGAGTTACCTCGCAGAGACAGAGTCGCTGGCCTTGGCCCCACGGCTGCAGGAAAGGGGGCTGGCGGGGACCCCCTGCACTGCACCAAGTGCCCCTTCCAGGGGTGGGACGCAGAGCGTGCACAGAAGGTCAGGCTGCATATGGAAGAACACATACAAAATCTCTACCAAAGTATCTTTCTTTCGCTTTTGCTTTTCTTACCCTCCCTCCACCAGCTTCCAGAACTTTCAGTCAGAAACAAACATCCTTCAGGCACCAGTGCTATTTTTTGTTGTTAGCTTCCCGCATTTATCCTAAATGCCTATTAGAGAAGCCTCTTGCCCACTTTGTATGCTTGTGTACAAATTTCTAATAAATACCCCTTCTAAGGCGTGTTTTCCCTCCTCTTATCTCTCTTCTTTAGTAAGCTGGCAGGGACTGCTTATGAGTCACGGGGTAGTGGGCTATGGCAAAAGGCCACAGTTTGGAGTGGCTGGCCAGGGCAAAAAGCCAAAAAAATACTTTCAACATCCAGTTTCTCCCCCTCTGAGACTCACAGCAGTAAATTAGTTTCCTGCTAGGAGCAGCAAGCTCAGCCTTTGCCAGCAAGTGCCAGAACCCCAGTTCCATAGGCCAGCTGCGATTCTTGTCTGTAAGTTCGCAGAATGAGCAGGGCCCAAGGCAGACACTGCGGGGCACAGCCCCTGCTCAGGGATGGTGCTTTCCAGGGGACTTCCATGAGACACTTCCATACCAGCCAGGGCCCAGCTAGGGCTCAGGCAGCCACAGCAGGAAACAAACAGAGGGTGAGAGGCCCAGGAGAAGCCAAGTCAGGATTACAGATGGGTTTGGGGGAGATTCAGGAAGGGAAACCGGACTTCAGATTTGCCAGAGTTTCACCTAGACTGAGACTCTGAACCAAGACTTGGGTCTTGTCTTGGCATCCCGTGCCTGAGCTAAGGAGCCCTTTGACCTTTGTCTTCAATTTCAGCCTTCTTCTCCTCCTCCTGGCTAATCTGGTGTTTTGCTGACCCGGAAAACAATATAGGAGCCTTTGGCTTCTTCCTGTTTAATCCACAGGGCTTTAGGATACAAACCATTGGTCAAACTTACAGAAGACTTGCTAAAAAAAAATCCCAAAAATTCAAACTGTGCATCAACTGCTCAGCAGTTCTAGAGTCAACAAGAAGAAATCATTTTAATAGAAAAAGTCTCTTACTCCCTAAAGAAGCATCATCCTTCCCTTTTTTTTTTCACCTCCTTTTTCTCCTATTATCCCAGCTCCCTCAGGGGCCACACGAGGGCACAGGAAGGATGTCCTTTGGTGAGGGCAGCTCTTCAGACAGGACTTGCACCCAGCTTCGCAGATGGAGGCTCCCCCTCCAGCCCCAGCTGCAGCACCAGCCTGCCC